GAAGCGAATGATAGTAAACAAAAACACCGAGCACATGTCCATCTCAGGATGAGCTCTGCGCCAAGCTCCCGCCCAAGGTGCAGGATGGTTTAGGCTTGGGTTTTGGTGTTAGGACCCTCCGAATGAATGTCGGGGTGTTAGGATTTACGTAGGACATCCAGGGCTGCCCGAACCCTAGATCCCTGAACCCCGGAAGACATAAGAAGAGCTCCTACCTCACATTGAGCTTACCTTGGCCATTGAAAGACAAACTTGCTAAGAGCCCGCGAGGCAAGCACTCCATGAGTTCGGTAAACCACATTTACCCTAAACCCTTCTGGGGTTTAAGAGGGTTCAGGAATTGGGGTTTAGGGATATTTTGTTTCTCCCTTTTATGGGAGTTGGGGGTACTGCCCCATAAGCTCCACCATCCCTAAACCCCAAAGCGCCCAAAAAACCCTTAACCTCAAACCCTGAACCCTAAACCTTAAACCCTCAGTTTGCCCAACAGTACTCAACATGTCGGGGAGGTGACCTCTACGGAGCCTCCGGCGAAGAACCAGGATGATGATAAGCTGCAGGCTCGGTTTGGAGCGTGGGGCGCCCCTAAACTACCTAATCCTCCCAACCCTACACCCTAAACCCTAGCCCACCTAACCCTAAACCCCAAACCCTGAAGCTTGAACCCCCTAAACCCTAAACCCCCTAAACCCTAAACCCTAAGCCCTAAACCACCTATTTCCCTAAACCCTAGAAGCTTTCTCAACCACCTTCTTGAAGCGCGCCCACACTCCGACAGCCTCCCATCCTCACAGCTGGGCAGGAGCCGTGCATCCCAAAGCCTGCTTTGCATGCTTGGTTTTTGCATTCTTGGGGTTTAGACACTATCAGCCCTAAACCCTAAACCCTAAACCCTAAACCCTAAACCCTAAGGATTTAGGAGTTCGGGTTTGGGGGGGCTTCCAAGCGAGTCCCCGCAGGTACCGTCCGGCGCGGAAGCTTCAGCAGCCAAGGCTTGGCTTCCTGCTTAGTAGTAGAGTAGGTAACCTTTAACCTTTTTGGGTTACTTTATTCCTCTTATAATCCCAAAGGTTAACCTTTAAAACCCCTAGGTACTGGACAACTAAGCCTGCATGGAAGTCGAACCCCAGAACCCCGGAACCCCAAAGCTTTTGCAACATCCTTTGGTGTAGGGCTTAGGGTTTAGGGATTGAGGGTTGAGGGTTTAGGTTGCTGGTTCAGGTTCCGGTAGGGTTGCAGAAAAAGGCTCCTGGTACATCTCCTCAGCGGCCAAGTTCACACATCCTAGGCGTTTAATTGGGCATTTCCCAACATAGAGGGGCTCCTTTTGAAACCGGGTAATCTCTGAGGGTAGCCTCATGGGCCCACTATATGGTCCCGAGTCCCTAGCCTCCTTTGAAGGGTTCGGATGTATCGGCCCTTAATTTGCATAGGGTATATAAGGGGAATGTAAGGGGTACTCTTTGAAAGGCCCATACTTAGGGTCCATGTAACTACCCTTAGAAAAAGATTGAGACTCGTAATTACCCCCTTGTACCCCGAAAGGTTCCCCTTAATGCACGTCTAATATGGCCCTTACATTACCTGTGGGATCTTGAAAATGTGTCCCAGGGTACAACCTTAAGGGCCCGAGGTAAAAACCCCTAGAGATAAGTAGCCCTGTTCTGGAAACCCTAACCCTAAACAACCTTTCCAAGTATGTATATGGTGGGATCTCTAAATTGTAGTCCCTTTCTGGGTACCCTAAGCAAGAGGGGCCGCCTCATACTTTAGAGAAATGACTGTATCATCGCTAGATGTTGAGCTCCTTAACAAAGCTGGAGGACGCTCCAAGTGACGGGGATGCTGCGGAGAAGACACCGCTGCCTAGCCGCAGCATAGGGGTTTGCTGTAGTGTTTCGGGCTTTGGGGATCGGATTCCGATTTAGGGTCTCTTGGGTACTTCTAGGGTTCCCATATTAGGGTTTCAGGTTGAGGTTATCAGGGTTTGCAACGGCTTCTTACCTCCTGGAGTGCAGCGCAGATCTGCAGTTCCCGGCCCAGAAGAAAGCAAAAACAAATCTGATAAAGCAAAAACAAATCCGATACTTGTACTGTTTAGGGTTCAGGGTTCAGGGTTCAGGGTTTAGGGTTTAGGGTTTGTTCTGTGACCCGGGGAGGCTGGGCCGTGCGGTGCACGTGTAGATCAAGGAAGTTCACGTGGCCAGATATGCTTCGAAAGGTCTGACTATGTGATTAGAACACGGCCGTTGCACATTGAGGGCACAACTAGGGACCATGTGTTAGAGAGACGACTGTTCGTGGGCAGACAGAGTTAGCAATCTCCAAACGCTGTCCAAGCACAGTGTCAAGCATTCGCGCCTGAACGTCACTTGCATACAACACAAATTAGAGGATCCCCTGAGCACCAGAGTAGGAATTGAGGTTATTATAGATTCTGGCCCCGGGTACCAGTTTGGAATCATATTTAACATCTTTCATTGCTTGATGCTGTACACACTTTTGGGCACGGTTGAGAGCAGCCATATCCACTCAAAGCGTCATACAGAGGGAACGAAGGGTGTCCAATTCCTCAGAAAATTGTTAACGCTGCGCGACCCAGCAAAGCCAGCTCTTCGGAGGGAAGGGCAGGGTGGGACCCTAAGCTCGAGGCCCTAAACCCTAAACCCTAAACCCCAAACCCTAAACCCTAAACCCTAAACCCTAACAATGGTGGGGGCGTGAGGGGGCTTCGGGGAGGTGATGGGGGAGTAGTGTAGCTGAAGGGGAGGAGGGGGCGTAGGGGGGAGGAGTGAGAAAACGCTCTGGTCCCCTTGAGGGGGTTGGTAGTGGGGGTACCTGCATTATCTATCCAAACACCTACGACCACAAACCTGGGCGGATGTCTCAAGCTCGCAAGCTTAGTCCCCAACAGGGCACATCCTGGGAACCCTAAACCCTAAACCCTAAACCCTAAACCCTAAACCCTAAACCCTAAACCCTAAACCCTACACCCTAAACCCTAAACCCTACACCCTATACCCTAAACCCTAAACCCTAAGTGGAGAGTGTCGCAGCTCTGAGGCCGGCATCCCCTGCGCCACGGCAGCCATCCCATCGTCCTAGTGTGAGGGTTGCGGGATTCGGGTTTAGGGGCTTCGGGGCTTCGGGGCTTCGGGTTTAGGGTTTAGGGTTTAGGCTTAGGGGCTTAGGGGCTTAGGGGCTTAGGGGCTTAGGGGCTTAGGGGCTCAGGGGCTTCAGGGCTTAGGGTTTGGGGGCTTAGGGGCTTAGAGGCTTAGGGGCTTAGGGGCTTAGGGGCTTAGGGGCTTAGGGGCTGGGGCTTAGGGGTAAAGGTTTGGGGCCGGGAGCATCCTATACCTACAGTAAAGGGCTTGCTTGAGTTAAGTTACGGATCCCTCTTTGGGGATGCGTTGCTGTACTGGTTGGCGACGCGTGCTGCATGACCAGGTCTTATAGGGGATCCCTAATATAGTCTTTCAAAATAGAATTTCCCTGATAATGAAATAAGGACCCCAAGAAGGTACCAACTAGTTTCGGAAACCACCAGATTGTTTATGAATTGATTTTTGCGTTTTCTTCGGATCTCTGCGGAACTTCCGTCCGGCCTTGACTCGCTCAGCTGCGCAAGGCCTGGAGGGTTCGAGGTGACCTAGGCATGTCGTCTAAACACCCAAGACTTTGTCATAGTGGGATAACATATTGATTTTCATGCTATCCCAACCATGAACTAGAAAACAGCCACAGCTTCTTTGGGCTCCAGGGGTCTCATGCCTACGTGGTCAAATTTAGGGGTATACGTAGGACTCGGACCCAGGGTCCCAGGGCAGGGCCTTATTCTTTCTTGCTTTTCGGAGTTTAGGTTCCCCTGTGAGCCCCTTTAAACCAACAAGGGTCCCCATTCTATCCCTAGGTTAGTCTTGGGTCTAGAGGAACCTGCACTGGTGACTTCTCCCCCCCATGGTTGATCTGTGCTGACTAATGTTTTTCATGAGCTGGGCGAAGAGGAGAAACTCTGAATGCCGCACCAACTGGAAACCCTAAACCCTAAACCCTATACCCTATACCCTATAAACCCTAAACCCTAAACACCAAAGAACTGTTGACAAGCCTGAACCTGGAAACTCTGGCAGCCAACAGCTCCGAACCCGAGGCTCTAAACCCTGAAACCCTGAAAGCTCAAACCCCACTCTGTTCTTTGTGGTGCCTTATTGTAACTTTAAATCCTTAGCCTTTTTGGGTTTTTTGGGTTTCCTAGTAAGGCAGCTCAAAGTTTAATTTATAGCTACCCTCCTAAGTGCAGCCAAGACTCTGTTGTACAAAGGTACGTCGATCCATCTCGGACTTCACGGGCTGCTGACGCTAACGCCCGTGGACTATTGAGCTTCAGGTCTGGGCCTAGAAGGGAGAAAAGTTCCAGGGTTTTTGGACATCCTAAACTCTAATCTAGGCCACTTTTGGAAATGAGGTGTGACTTTTGCTGTTTCGTACACTTGTACGTCGAAGCAAGCATCATGAAGATTTTGGCTTTCTAGGATCCTGAACGCTTTTTGGGCCTGGGAGGCGGTCCTAGCAGGCTTTGGGGTGGAGGATTTAGGGTTGTAGGGTTGGGAAGTTCAGAAGACTCAGTGTGTCTGTGCGCGCGCGAGCGCACGCTCGACCTTGTTGCCCAACATCCGCGGTCCTTTGAGCCACTTTTTCTGCGAAGGCTTTTCAACGAAAGGTTTCTTGCAATCGGTGGGTGGGTCTGCCTGCTTCTATTGCGGATCTGCCTCGGAGGCCTGCCGATGTAGAAAAGGTTGTATAGGAATCTGGGTAGCTTGTGAGACTCGGGCGTGCTGAATATAGGGGTCGGAAGAAATACCAATAGTGTTCCCTTCCGGTCCCTATATAAGTATACCACTTTAACCCCCCCCGCCCCTAACCCTTAACCGTATTCTAATTACTAAGGCCCTTATATGTTACTTTCTTAAGACTACCCCAGACGTTGCCCATGCCCCGAGATGGCAGAGAAGGAGGCCTCGAGCTGTAGGCCGCTGCAGCAGCGGAAATGGCAGGCCCATTCGCAGATCCTTGTAGCTTCACGTGTGATGTAGGTTTGTGGGCAGTGAGTTCTTGAACCCTTTGTCCAGCCCAAGCTGCCCTACTCAACCCCAAGCCCTTCTCTCCATGCCCTCTTCATGCACGTTATGGGGCTTAGGGCTCACTGTTTAGGGTTTAGGGATTGTCTGGTCACAGGGGACAGCTCACCACCCAGAAAGTCCTCTTTCGCCCTCTTGGGCGTGCGGGCCTTGGCTCTTAAGCAGAGAGCGCGAAAGCCGGAGCCCAAGAACCACCACAAAATAGGAAGAGACTGCCCTGAGCGCATGTTAAGACTAAGAGACCCTCTAAAGCTTCAACCCCTTTGATTTACAAAAAATGCCCGAACCAGACTGCGTGAAGAGGGTTTGTCTTAGGTGCTGGGGAGGTAAACTTAGACTATTTTGGGGTACGATCAACCTAAACCCTACACCCTAAACCCTAAACCCTAAACCCTAAACCCTAAACCCTAAACCCTCACAACCCAAAGGTCCCTGGACACCAGTTGTAGACATCCCGGCGAGGGTGCCAAGACTCGGGAAGTTGAGCATGCGAATTCAAGACGGCCAATGCATGCCGTCAGGGTGTTTAGTTTAGCGTTCAGGGTTTGCGGTTTAGGGTTTGGAGGTTTAGGGTTTAGGGTTTGGGGTTGAGGGTTTGGGGGTTTAAGGTTTGGGGTTTGGGGCTTGGTGTTTGGGGGGGGGGGGGGGGGTGGTTCACCTGTCGCCGACTTGATACGGGGTTTGCAGGTTCGAGGCCTTACGTAGGGGTGTTATGGATGAAGAGGTTGCAGCGTGTTGAAGGCTTATGGAGATTTTGGTTGCTGAGAAGACCTTGGCACTGAGCGTAGAAACCCATGCGCTCGAGAGTTCTTGGCCAATGATTTGCCACAGCCATGGGCAGTACAGCTGGCAGCAATCCAGCTCACAGGATACTGCGCTTCCAAAAACTCACAAGGGAAGATGCCCAACTCCGCTGGGAGGCCTCTGACATAACTGGGTTTTGGAGTACTATACTTTAATACTTGGTTTGGTTCTGGGTTCCTACTATAGCTACCTATACCTAAAAAGTATATTTGTCCAGGGCCTACTCCAAAGTAGGACATAGCATGACATGCTTCTGGAGACCTTGCGCACATGATTCGGTCTTGCCGCAGCCGTAGAAACCGATTATTCTGCTACTTAAAACCCATGTTGGTGCCCTGGAGCGAATGTCTGCCAAATAAAGTAATTGACAATGTGCGATTCTACGAACAGCTTTGTCGTGCTTGCGGTCTGCCGAAAGCTGCGCTCGGCGCGGATGCGGTCTCGTCAGCAATCCACAAGTATGCTACATTAGACATCAACGGAGCATGCATACATATACACATATATACATCTATACATCTATACATATATACATATATACGTTTATACATATTAATATATGCATGTATACATATATACATATATACAAATATATACATGTGTAGAGTAGGTGCTGATGTAACATGCATAGACATCGGTGCACTATGTGCGCGGTCGCCCTACAAAAAACCGGCTTGCCCAGGTTTGCCCAATCAAGTCGAATCTTTGCAGTGGCAGAACTGGGTAGGCCAACTATTCTTCCCTTATGGGGTCTCCGAGGGTCATATTTAGGAAATATGTTTGTCCCTTCTTGGGTTGAAGAGGGTTCCATGTAGGAATGTTTCTGAGAGGGTTTTAAGGGGCCACCCTTGAGAAGAAGCCTTTGCATCGTGGGCGGGCCCTGCTATGCCACTTGCATGCGCAGCCGGGCACCCATCTCAAGGCCACCCTCCTACCTCTGGGTCTTCTTGGTGGTTTTGTTGGGTCTTGGCCTTCGGATGTCCGAGACCTAAAGCAGTTTAGAGTTTGGAATTTGGCACGCGGACAGGAAGGTTTCGGAAAACGGTGCTGCTGCAATTGTCCTCGGGTGGCCAGGTGTGCTCGCATGTGCGCATCCGTGGCTCTGGCAGGCCAGGCGCCTGTGGTTGTCCGGTCTGAGGGTCCAGGGCCTTGGGAAATCGGGGAGACACTTGCCCATGGCCAGCCGACACCGCAGCTTCTTCGCTGCCCTGCAGGTCCCACTTCGGCGTTCACCGTGCTCACGTGGAACACGCTGGCCCCGGTCTACTTCCGGCAGGCTTTCAGCGACTGGCTGCCGAACCTTTCAGAGTCAAGGAAGGTAACATCTACTAAAGCGTGCAGAATGCATATAATGATGCCACTGCGAAGCACGTGTACACAAACACGCAGACACACAGACACACGGACACGCAGACACACAGACACACGGACACACAGACACACAAACAAACACACAAACAAACAGAGAGAGAGAGAGAGAGAGAAAGATATATATATATATATATCTGTATATGTTAGTTTAGTAGTTTTGATGCTCATTTATTCATATATTCATGTCTTGATGCATCTCATGTGGCGTTCTAAGCGCGATCCAGTCATTGAGGCTTTTCTGTTGCTGTCTGCTCGCTACATTGCTTTCTTCATGAAGATGGACGCTAGTTGTTCTCCCTTGGACCCGACTACGATCCCATATTTCTCGCCGCCACTCGAATTATCGCATTGGCTGTTGCATCATGGGTCTGCCCTAAACCCGAAACCCTAAACCCGAAACCCTAAACCCTAAACCCTAAGCCGCCCGCTCGACTCTGTCGGAGTGCTCTGCTGCGGCGTGTGTGGGCTGCCCCTCGACATGGATGATTAAACTCTGCGCGTCGACGGCTGCAGCCCGACAAGGCCATTTGCATCTTGTGGGGACCCCTGTCCCTACGAAGCCCAGCATGAATGTGCAGCCGCCTGACTGCCCTTGCGGACGAAGGGGAGCTTCCCAGGAAGCACGAGTGGCTTCGGGCTGCTTTCAAAGGCTTAGGGGCGAGGAGGAGGGCGGAGGTAGGAAATCCTGGGGCTGCCGAAGTCAAGGCGCGAACAGCGCCAATGATCTGGGCGGGGAAGGATGGAAGGCCTCGAACGGATCGGGGTCTTCCGCCGGGTCAAACGACCCGTTTTATCCATTTGATGGGACAAGACTGGCTCCAGCCTTGGCCGTGTTGAGGCTTTCTTGCGAGAACGAGGTGCCAAAGCACTCAATAGGAAACATTCAAAACTAGGATGCCCAGTGGAACATGTGTTCGTTTTTTTGCAAGGAAGGTTTGGATTCTTAGGATAAACACAAGGGCAGCCTCTTACCGTGAAACCTAGAATCGCTAGAATCAAGGGACTAGTTCTTTAGGGGTTGTTTGGGGGCTACGTAGGCATATAGGGACTATATAAGGTCCCTTCTAGGGAACCCCAAACCCCAAACCCTAAACCCTAAACCCTAAGCCCTAAGCCCTAGGGCCTAAGCCCTAAACCCTAAACCCTAAACCTAAACCCTAAACCCTAAACCTTAGTAGAAAAGAGACCTCGGGAGGCCGGCTTCCGCGATGAGACGGAGGTGCCACGAGACGGTGCTAAGTGGGACTGCCCTGCCTTCAACTTATCATGTTGGAGATGGGCCTTGGTTGATGCCGTAAGCTGCCATACGTATTTGTAAAGGTATATATATATATATATACATATACATATAATATGTATGTATATATACATATATATATATACACATTTTTTGACTTATGTGTTTTTAAAAAGACATGGGGAGGGAGACCTTACGTCATCGCACTCCAAACAGGCCCGTAGTTCTGATTGGAGAGTTTGTCCGCCAACCCCAAACCCTAAACCATAAACCCTAAACCCCTTAAGTGCGGAGGCTTCCCTCCGGTCGGTGGCCCTGGCGCGCTGTGAGAAGATCTGCAGGCAGGTTGGGGTTCCCTCGTCGATGGGCCACAAAAGTCGAGCCGAGTTAAGGGTTTAAGGGTTAAGGGGTTTAGGGTTTAGGGTTTGGGGTTTAGGGTGTAGGGTTTAGGTCTTCCGAGGTTGCTGGGGAACCTGCGCAAGAGCGCGCGGGGGGGGGGGGGGGTTTCGATGGGGTTGGGGCGCGGTACTTGGAGACTCATGGGGGTCTTAAGTATGCAGGGTACCTACATTATAAGCACGCACACACACACACAAGAACCTCCACGTTGGTGGCATAACCAGTCATCACGCCGCAACTCCCTTATATATCTGCCCAAGTGTCTACGGAGTGGCTTCTTGAGGGCACGCGAGTCTTGCACCTGCTGCTGATCCGACCGGTCGGGGTCAGATGCCAGGATGCTTCCCTCGAATCATCGAGCTTCAGTGAAGGGATTTGCTGGAGCTTTTTGGTTTCAATCCGAAACCCGAAATATCCCTGATCCCTCTAGTCAGGGCCTGAGATCACGTCCCTGAAGTTGCAGGGTCTTGGCGGCCTCCGCGGCAGATGTCGTATGCCTGCAGGTCAAGGGGCACCTGCACAGGGTTTTGGGCAACATAAGCTTCGTTTTGTTTTCGGACTTCATACTGTATGTATTTGAACAGGCAGCATCATCACTTGTTTTGGAATTTCGTGTGCACATGCTAATGAGGAGTTTGGGCGTGTGGCCGGTTGACTCTAAAGTGGTTGTTGATGCCCTAAAGTGGTTGTTGATGCCCTAAAGTGGTTGTTGATGCCCTAAACCTGGAGAATGGGATATGTGCGCTGTGACTCGGCACATGCCGACTTTTAAGTCGGTTGCTAATCCAAACCCCCCCCCCTCCCAAGCCAAGCGAAGCCAGTTCAATGCCGGACGAAGATTATTAGCATCGATGCCCTCGTGTTTGTGCTGTCAACGTGCACATGCAAACCATAAAGCCGGGTCAGGAGCACTGGTTCGATTCGAATCACCAAGCTGTCTACCAGCAGCTAGCGCAGAAGCATGGCTATCGCTGCTCGGCTGCAAGGTGTTTTGCCTGACTCCAAAGTCCCAAGCCCTGTTGCAGACCCTACACTCGGCAACCAAAAGCTCTCATGACGTCCGTTGTTCTCCAGGCCTTGTGGGGGCCCTAGGATACAGCACTGGACGTGTGGAAAGTTCTCCAGAACGGGATGCCTTCTGGCGGTCCTTTGTCTAAGGTGCCGCACTATACAGGGACCCCAAAAGGGGCCGTACTTTCGAGAACAAGCATAAACCCTAAACCTAAATCCTGAAACCTCAAAGATCAAGGGTATAGAAGGGGTAGAGTACCCACGGTTTTGGGGACATGTGTATAGATACAGCCCTACATAGCTTGTGGCCATGATCAGAATCATCTGGCTGGCTCTTCGTAGGGAAAGAGGGACTGGTACCGTATCGAATCCCTTAAAGGGTCCCAAACTCTAAACCCTAAACCCTAAACCCTAAACCCTAAACCCTAAGGGGTACATACAGGGCCATACTCCCTTCATTCCCTGCTAAGAACCAGGGGGTCGTTGCAACTTGGAACTTTGTGGGCGCACTCCAACAGAAAGCAGCCCTTGAGCCTGCCTGGGCCCCTTGCGTTTAGGGTTTAGGGTTTAGGGTTTAGGGTTTAGAGTTTAGGGTTTAGGGTTTAGGCTTACCACGGCTCGTGTCACATGTACATTCTAAATGAAACTAGTACCTTTCCCCCACAGGGAAGGACAGCTCGGGGCTCAAACCCGAACATCGAAGCCCTGTAAATTCTGAACCTTCCAAACCCCAAACCCCAAACCCCAAACCCTAAACCCCAAACCCGAAACCCTAAACCCTAAACCCTAAACCCTCAACCCCAAACCTAAACCCTAAACCCTAAGCCTGTGAACCCTGTAGAATCCCCACACCCCAAGTCCCCACCTCACAGGCTACGAGTCGCTGCAGCGCTCGGGCTGGAATTGTGACGGTCGCTCAGAGGACGGCACCTCGACATCGCCCCAGGGGGCGCCTGAGGACTTAGGCTTTAGGGTTTAGGGTTTAGGGTTTAGGGTTTAGGGTTTAGGGTTTAGGGCTTTTGTAGTTGCTTAAGAAACCAGGAAAAATACAAGAATGTTCTTCCTGATTAAGGGTCGTGTAGGGAAGATTATTTGTTTATTCTTTTGGGGTTCTGAAGCAAATAGTGGGGTTTATAGGGTTTGGGGGAGGCTGCGGTTAAGGGTCAGGGTTTAGGGCTTTGAGTTTAGGGTTTAGGGCTGAGGGCTTCATGGCATTTCTGAGCTTCAGGAATTGGGGACCTTGCGGGGGAGGCTGCGTTTGGGAGCCAGAGCGGAGTCTGATGCACGGTAATGGCAACATCGTAGCAGTGACAAGTTTGTGAGTAAAGTTGATGAGCCATTCGCACTCCGCATCAGCGCACGGCAACCAAACAAACGTACCAAGTTTGTTTAAGCAGATAGATTATTCTAACCATCAGGTACCCCAAGAAGGACCCACAATTGGGGTGTCTGGGTAGAATGGCTTCAAGTTAAGGCAGCCTGCGGCGGCGGGTTGTTGGTGGACAGCAGAGCTGGATGGTGAACTAGGAGAGAAAGGTGAAGAGTGTGTTAATGCGGTAACTTGTCGTGGGTGGATTTCCTGTTCATCTTTCTCGAAGCCACAAATTGACTTAGAGCTCATCACAGCTTGAGACCCATAAGCCGACCGTTATGATAACTTTACGCCCGGCAATACACAACCCAGCATGGCGTTACTGTGTATGAAGTTCGTGCCAGAACCCGCTCTGTTTTCTATACCCCCCTTGGAAATTATTTTCGGTTTTGTTCATATAAAACGCAAGAGGAGATTAAACACCCTGTTTTTAGTAAGGTTCTAAGGGGAGTATAGCTTTCGACAGCACTCCTACACTCCTACACATCCGTTGCTGCAAGGCATTGCCATCTTGGTGAAAGAAGAGGTCTTGGACGTTCGTGAGCGACACGAAGTTCACTTCCACTCCTACGGCATTCCACAGGTGGGATCCGATCGTGTGCCTGCAAGGTATACGTAGTTGTTAGCATGTCCGTGCCGCATTTGCTGTAGACGTGATATCCAAAAACATCTGCAAAGCCCCAAGGGCCCAAAGTACCAACGCTTATCCCTCTACTTCCCTGACGCCTGCAGGCCATGATAGCCCTCAGTGAATGATTGGCTTAGACTCGGCTCTTGATTTGGGCCGCGAAAGATCTCAAAAGTGCTTCCTTTGGCCATGACGGTTCCCGCTATACTCTAAACCCTAGACCCCAAAGCCGAAACCCCAAACCCGAAACCCGAAACCCCAAACCCTAAACCCTAAACCCCAAACCTCTCTCCTGTCTGTGCAAGGATCGAGTGGCACTGCTCCTCTCGCTCTCAGACCGGCGGCGTCCTGGAGGATTGGGTTTAGGGTTTAGTGTTTAGGGTTTTGGGTTGTGGGTTTAGGGTTAGGGTGTAGGGGTTTAGGGGTTTAGGGGTTTAGGGGTTTAGGGGTTTAGGGGTTTAGGGGTTTAGGGGTTTGGGGGTTTAGGGGTTTAGGGGTTTAGGGGTTTAGGGGTTTAGGGGTTTAAAGCTTAGGGGTTTAGGGGTTTAGGGGTTTAGGGGTTTAGGGGTTTAGGGGTTTAGGGGTTTAGGGGTTTAGGGGTTTAGGGGTTTAGTGTTTCGGGTTTTGGGTTGTGGGTTTAGGGGTTTAGGGGTTTAGTGTTTAGGGTTTTGGGTTTTGGGTTGTGGGTTTAGGGTTTAGGGGTGTAGGGGTGTAGGGGTTTAGGGTTTAGGGTTTAGGGTTTAGGGTTTAGGGTTTAGGGTTTAGGGTTTAGGGTTTAGGGTTTAGGGTTTAGGGTTTAGGGTGCCCTTCTGCCCCTTTTCTTGGTTCTAGTTTTCCTGCAGAAAAAGGGGGACCTTTTATTGTGATATGGTCACCTACCAAGAATTGTGGGGAATTTAGGATTGAACGTCAGGGGTCTGGTTTTTAGGGTTCAAAAAGGCTTGGGTGTCCTGGAGAACTGGGTTTTGAGCGAACTCCCTGAGTTCAAATTCGGGGCATCAGGCGCCTAGTCTGTAGTCTCCACGCATCTAGGTAAACCACGAAGTCCTACTCTTTGAGACCCTCGACCTATAAGCCCTATAAATCCTACACCTTGAGAAACCCCATCTACACCCTAAGCCCCAAAAACCCAAAGCCCGAAAAATCCCCGCAAGGGGCTCGAGCTCCAACCCAGCACAAACCCCGAAGCCTACCCAAGCAATCATTAGGGTTTAGGGTTTAGGGTTTAGGGTTTAGGGTTCAGGGTTTAGGGTTTAGGGTTTAGGGTTTAGGCTGCTTTAGGGCGGGCTTTTGGGTTCAGGGATTTCGGGCTTCTGGTTTAGGGTGCTGAGTGCCGATCTTCGAACGGACAAGCTTGATCAGAGAGAGCCCGGGTTGTGGGCCGTTTTGGGAGGTACCCTCAAGCCCTTATCTATGGTCACTGCAAGGCCGTGCCCAAAGTCTAGAGTCTAGATTGCATTAATCATAGCAACAATAGCAGTAAGATTTAATCGCCACCCCTTTTTGGTTCACAGTAGCTAGCACTAGCGGCCCCCACATGATACATCCCCTCTTGGGTAAACATAATTATAAATTGGGGTACCTAACTCCGCAACTACCCTAAACCCTAAACCCTAAAACCCTAAAACCCTAAACCCCAGACCCTAAACCCGAAACCCTAAACCCTAAACCCTAGACCCTAATGGTAAGCAGGAATAAGGGGGGCCGTAGGTCAGGGAACTGGACCCTTTGGTTGACGAAGCCCTGCAAGGAGCCGGGAAGCTGGCGGTCATGTGCACTTCGACTGCAGTAGAGTTTAGGGTTTAGGGTTTAGGGTTTAGGGTTTAGGGTTTAGGGTTTAGGGTTGTCACCTACCAAGCCTAAACCCTAAGCTAGAAAAACCCCAAAGCCTAAACCCTGTCAGCCCTAAGCCCGAATGTGGCCCTGGCTTGTGGCTTATAGGGTTTGCCTATCGCAGCCGATAGACCGACTACGGGCATTACAGGGTATGTGTTGGGGGTACCTTTTTTCAGGGAATCCTACTATTTTGGGGGTCCCCTATTTTCGGAAACCCTTTTCTAAAGCCTAAGCCCTTATAAGCCCTAAACCCTAAACCCTACTATGCGGGGGTCTATTTTTAGGGGTCCCCTTTTTCGGAAACCCCCCAAATCTTGGGTGTCAAAGTCGCCTTGTTTGGGGGCGGTCTTGAAAGGCAGGCTTGGGGCGCGCGCAAAGAGTTGTGGGTTTGGTTTGGATGCCTTATACCGCAGCAGGGGAAGGGAAAGGTGCGGAGTCTGGAAGCTGATCTCTAGCCTAAACCCTAAACCCTAAACCTTAAACCCTACACCCTAAGAAGGCACCCACCTCACCTTCCCGCACTCGTACTACGACGAGCGCAGCCGCGAGGCCTGATCCGGCCTTAGGGCGCAGGCTTTGGGAGGTTTCGCTTCTACCGCTTTTCCGCGACGCCCGGGCATGTTTTCAAAAGGCGGCGGCAGGGCCTCACCGTGCTGAAGTCCGGCAACGGCAGTGGAGTACGGCATTGTTTGCAGTCAACGACTATACAATAATATTTGAATATGTACAGAAGCCTTCAAGTGGCTCTAGTGAACCCAGCTCCTTTGCCGAGCAACAGCTTGCAGCAATCGCTAGGAAGTTACAGCCAGGCGCAGATCATGGCTTGCCTCGACGCTTGTGAGAGACATGCGTGTCTGCCTCAGAAGACATCTTTACGGGCTGACCACTGACCACATGGAAACCAAGAGAAGGCTGGTTTACAGCTTGCTCTTCAAGTTAGGGTTTAAGGCTTCAGGGTTCGAGGTTTGGGTTGAGGGTCGAGGGCAGCCGTTTCTGCAGGGTCTGCCTGGCCACAATCTTCCCTTCAGCACTTGACCTTAGCTTGCAGGACACTTCACAACGTAGGCTCTCTAAGATGGCTAGCATGCAATAGAGCTGCCTCCGTCACACCGAAACATAACTTGCCCTGAGCACGCAAGCTAGATGCAGCTAGATGAGCACCAGCCTAGCTGGCATGCGGATGGAAGCTAGACCAACATGGAGGACCCAAAGACTCCAAAACCCCTTAATTAAGGAATATACCTTAAATTATAGTAGGAACCCTACTATGATTTAAGGTATATTCCTTAATCAAGGGGTTTTGGAGTCTTTGGGGATGCAGAAGGGGAGGAGTGAGATGATGTTTTAGAAGTGGGCCCTCCCCGACGAAAGGAAAGCAATCCAATCTGTCGGTTTCTGGCAAAACTATGCACGCGCATGATGTATATCATGTATATGATGCATATGACGTATATGACGTTTTTGATGTATATGATGTATATGATGCCAGGGAGCACATGAGTCTGCAGCTACAAAAGCCGGAGGTGTATTAAAGGGGACTGCTTCACGCATTGCGCTGCCTGCCTGCAATGTGGATGACCGGGACTAGGATGTACCATTCATGGGCCACCACCACCACCACCACCACAGCTACATCCACTGAGGTCGCCAGATACAGCGCTGGTTTTTGCAGGGGAGACTTGACTGCAGCAGTAAGTGCCACGGCACACTGATGAGGTAAAGACGTGGCTCTTGCAGATGCTGATGTAGGCGGAATTTTGGAACAACCCAACCTCAGGCACCCAGGTCTGCAATACCCGAAGACGCAGGAACTCAGCTCCACGCCGCTGTTTGAGTGCAGTGTCATGACAGGGAAGCTGGGACGGTCCGTAACTGTGCAACTTTCCTTACACCGCAAGGACTTCAATGGCCCCAGTGACGATGCCATCTCGGAACGGTTGAAGAAGGCCACCGTCTTGCAGGAAGCTCATGCGTTCAGGTCTTGCGGGATGCAGTGGTCCCTAAGCCCTAAACCCTAGACCCTAGACCCCAAACCCTAAACCCTAAACCCTAAACCCTAAACCCTAAACCCGGAGGCGCGCTTCCAAAATGCCTGGGACGAGCACTGCGGCACACCCTGCCGAGTGACCCACTGTGACCACAGGACCGGGCATCTCAAAAGGGGTTTCGTAGGCTACTATAGGGCTCGGAGTATTTGGGAATGTATTCCCTTTGGTCTCTAGTAACCCCCAAAACCCTATTTCAAACATTAAGGCGCCCATATTAAGGTTGAGGATCTGAGGACAGCTTTGTTGCGGGTTAGGCATCTGGTCCGCTTGTAGAGCGTTCACCCCAAAATACCACACTACACTGTATTATAGCCTATTGCAGGAAAACTTATCCCAAAGTCCAAGGCCTAGTTAGAGCCTTGGCGAAGCCTACCGAAATACCAGTTCACGCCGCCAAATCTCCCCAAAAGCTGCTCAGAAGCCCAAGCAAAACATGCGCGTCCGAAGAGGCCCCAAACCTTTCAAGCCTACTAACCCTAAACCCTAAACCCAAACCCTAAACCCTAAACCCCCTAAACCCTAATTAAACCCCTAAACCCTAATTCCCTAAAACCCCCCCTATCAGGGGAAACCAGTTCGCCTCCGATCACATCTGGCTGCGTGGGCGCCTGGGCGTCTTGAAGTGCAAGCTCCTCCCTGAGGCTGACTGGTTTGCGATTTAGGGCTTAGGGTTTAGGGTTTAGGGTTTAGGGTTTAGGGTTTAGGGTTTAGGGTTTAGGGTTTAGGGTTTAGGGCTGACTGGTTTGCGGTTCAGGGCTTTGGGTTTAGATTACGGCAACTCGGAGGTTCATGGTTCTCACTTAGGGTTTAGGGTTTAGGGTTTAGGGTTTAGGGTTTAGGGTTTAGGGTTTTCAGGTTTAGGGGTACTTATAACCCACTTGTAAGCCCCTTAAAGTGCCCTAGTATGGTTTTAAGCACAGTTGTAAGTACAGTTATAGCTGGTTAGTACGTACCATGAGCCTCCAAGAAGGGTTCAGTTTTGGGGCGTTCCTAGGTATTCAGGGAGCAAAGCTTTAGGAGCTTGCGCGGAGGCCAACGTGAGCAGTTATTCTACTCCAGTATAATATGGCTCTGTTTTTCCCCGAAATTCGGGGTACTTCCTTGGGGTCCTTAGTATAAGGGGATCCTATAAATTGGGGTTCTATATCGTCGGGGTTCCTTATTTTCTTAAACCACCCATATCATGCTATATTTGGGACGTGCAGTTTTCGGTGCATTCCCTGTGCACCCTCGGCTTGCTCCAGGGCATACCAGACGACGCCGCTATGCCACGGCCTGTTGCGGGGCGAGCACGTGAAGGCCGTGAGGGTTTTTGTACTCCTAAGCACGAAACGCCTCAACCCTCAACCCGGGTAGCCCTCACCCCTAAACTCCCCTTAAAAAGCCTTAAAAGGACCCTCAACCCTCCGCCCCCCCCACACCAGTTCTGCTACTCCGCCAGTGCTGTGACGGAGCAAATCTAGTGCAGTTCCTGGTCGTTTATAGGGGTGCCCTACATATAAGGCTCCGTATGACAAGAACTCTAAAAACGTAGCCTACTCTTGAATAAATACATCAGCCCCTTGCACCCCAAAATCCCCAAACCCTTCTCTTCAGAACCTTGAACCCTCCACCCTAGAAGCCCTAAGCCTTAGAACCTTCAACCCTAAACCCTATAAACCCTAAACCTTAGAACCTTCAGCTCTGGAACCTTAAACCCAAACCCCCAACCCCCAACCCCAAACCCGAAACCCGAAACCCTAAACCCTAAAGCCTAAACCCTAAACCCTAAACCCTAAGACCTAAGACCTAAGACCTAAGACCTAAACCATCCGCACCCGGATCCACACAGGCCCCCAGTTGCCAAGCTCCTTCGAGGAGTGGCCGGGAACCCACTGGGCTACCTCCAGGGTTTAGGGGTTTGGGGGTTTAGGGTTTAGGCTTAGGGTTAGGGTTTAGGGTTTAGGGCTATGGTTTAGGGTTTAGGGTTTCTAGGGTTTAGGGTTTAAGGTTCCGGGCTAGGAGTTTAGGATCTTAGGTCCTAGGGGTCAGGGGTTTCCGAGTGGGGCTTCTGGGGATTGGGGCGTGTGGTTTTGTTTCGGGTCATTTGCACTTGTAGGTTGGTAATGGGTCCAGATTCTCGACTTCCACATCTTAAACAGGAAGTGTTTTTTTTAAACATGCAGGGTTTAAGGGTGAGGGCTCCCTGAACGCAGGTCGAAAGAAGCTAGTCCACTCCAAGCCCCCCTTTTTTTAACCCTAAACCCTAAACCCTAAACCCTAAACCCTAAACCCTAAACCCTAAACCCTAAACCCTTTTTTTTTAAACCACAAAAAAAAGACGCGAAAACCCGAGAGAAGCCCTGTAAAACCAGGCTAAACGCGATGAGGCCCTTGACCAGAGTCCCGCCTTTCCGCCCCAAGCCCTAAACCCTAAACCCTAAACCCTAAACCCTAAACCCTAAACCCTAAACCCTAAACCCCAAACCCTAAACCCTAAACCCTAAACCACCTCATACCCCTTGAGCCCAAGGCCCGAAACCCTAATCCTTGAACCTTAGCCTCTCGAAGACCCTAAACCTTCAGCGCCCCATCTCCTTTGAGGGCCGAAGGTTTAAACCCTAAACCCTAAATCCTAAACCCTAAGCCCTAAGCCCTAAGCCCTAAACCCTAAACCCTAAACCCTGTTTGGCGGCCGAGGTGTCATCTCTCGGATCACCGTCCTTTGCTGTCTGAACTCTGCTGGCTCTCATAGGGGACCCTCAGAATAGACCCCAAATAGAAGGATTCCCTTATGATAAGGACCCCAAATAAGGTACCCCTAATGTCGGAAACCACTATAGAAGGCTCGGAGCTTGGTTTAGGCTTGACGGGGCGTACGCGTTTCACAGCGGGCAGTGCGTTCCGGCTTGTTTGTGGGTTTAGGGTTTAGGGTTTAGGGTTTAGGGTTTAGGGTTTAGGGTTTAGGGTTTAGGGTTTAGGGTTTAGGGTGCTGAAAGAAGCCAGCAGCCAGAACAGAACAGGCGAATGCCAAAGTTGCATGCGCCTTGCTCCTTCTGGACCCTGTGCACGTTTGCATATCGCTTGGCACTTAAAAGGGGTCAAGGGTTCTTCAGGGAGGGGGGTTACATACCCCTCTCGAAAGCCCCCCCTCCCTTAAGCACCCAATAAAAGTCTACTGTTTGCTTGAGAACCCCAAAAGAACAAGCAAATAAAATTCCCTATATTACCCTCAACAAGGAATGATATTTCTATTTTCCAGGGTTCTCAAGCAATTAGTAACAAAGGTGGGACCCTAAACCCTAAACCTTAAACCTTAAACCCTAAACGCACATGCTTCCCACGACTTTGAAGTGCCACTGCTCTCGTGGTGCCAAGGCCTGGCAGGTCGACGAGGCCAGCTGGGTGCTTATGGAGTTGTTTAGGGTTGAGGGTTTAGGGTTTAGGGTTACGATTAGGGCGCTGTGTTGACTGTGAAGTGCGGCCGAGCCTATCTCGATGAGCCACAGAGCCAAGAAGTAAGGCTATAGACGTTGTCTGTATCAGATTCTATTATACCATGCCAATACCACTACCGTTGCTTTGTATCAACTTGCAAGCTGGTGCAAAATGCCGCTCTGCATGAGGGGCCCAAAGGCCACATCAACAAAAGGATCCTACTATCCGGGCATAATTGAGGGTCCCTACAAGGGGGCAGCCTTTGCTAATGTGTTTCTTCCTACTATCCGGGTATGATGAAGGGTCCCCATAAGGGGGAGCCTTATGTTCATGTGTTGTTTTCCTACTCTCCGGGTATGATGAAGGGTCCCTATAAGGGGGAGCCATATCTGGGTTTCTTACTGGAGCAGGATGGAGATGCCGACAGCTTCGCCAGCGCGGATAGTGACAGCCAAGGACGGGAGGGCTCTGTGAGGGTCTAGGGTTTAGGGTTTATCCTAAACCCTAAACCCTAAACCCTAAACCCTAAACCCTAAACCCTAAACCCTAAACCCTAAACCCAAAACCCTAAACCCTAGCAGCTGTGGCAAGATGGACCCCTTAGGCCTTGGGCCTCCCACTCTATGACTATCGTGTTAACTACTCTGTCAGTGTGCTAGTATATTAGCATCTTCTTCTTGTTTGTAATTAATATATATATATATATATATATATATATATCATTATATGCTTATACTACTATGTTAAGATATTCATAGGTTTTAGATGATTATATGGTTATATGTTTATGGAATTAATATGTCATTATATGCTTACACTACTATGTTAAGATATTCATATATTTTAGATGATTATATGGTTCTATGTTTATGGAATCATGTTTTCTATGATTGAATCATATTAGTTGCATAGCATTCTCGTTTTTTCTATTGTTGTTTTGTGTATTTGGTATGAATATATCTTCATGTTGTTACACTATCATATTACTAAATGATCATATTATATTACTATGGTATTATTACACTGTTGTGTGATTGTATTGTGGTGTTTTTTTTACACTATTATGCTATGAAATTATTATGCGACTATATCAAAATATTATTCAGTGCCAGATTTCTCGAATTCATTTCTATTTATATATCTATTACATCATTGCATCATGTGTTTCAGGCTTCTCTTCACCGAAGCCTTCGCCGCAAAAGGCCGAGGCGTTCAAGCGCTTTGCACTGGGTTCTTGTGTGTTCTTGCTGTTGTTCTTGTGTGACATCAGAGCTCGGTGACATGGGCTCGCATTTTGCTGATGTTTAGGCATTGAGGCTGCGGCATTGCCGTGCAGATGTGGTTTGAGGGATGGTGTGCACCGAGGACTGAAAGCCTCATTGCGTTTGTGGCGCGTTGGGGTGTTGGTGAGCATCCTGCAGAGTTGGCCCTCGGTGCTTTTCGCAACTTCGGATACATATAACATTATACAAGATAGTCCAATATACAAGATCGACAATTTGTACAATGGACTGTACACCGTGCATTATGTGGTTTATATGATATTCACATTTCATTGCGCTACATTTATACCATGTTATTTTTGTTCATGTGACATGGTGCTACAACATAAATATAGGATACCAAACAAATAAATTCAAATAGATTCATAAATATATACATATAGATAGATAATCATACACAGTAATTTTATATTGCACGAGAAGACCTGTTGACCTCCAAACACTTGTGGTCAGGGGCGTTGATCCTGGAGCGCCGGCTGCACCGAGCGAGGGAAAATTCCTGTCTGCAAGAGGGGTTTAGGGTTTAGGGTTTGGGGTTTAGGGTTAGGGTTTAGGGTTTAGGGCCTTTAGGGTTTATAGGGTTTAGGGCCTTTAGGGTTTAGGGTACTGAAATAAGTTACCTTCATAAGGTTGAAGTGGCTTAGACGGTGCTTGAAGGTCCCCTAAAGTATGAGCCCCCTCCCCCCTACCCCCCCCCCCCCCCCCCCCCCCCCCCCCCCCTCCACCCCAGGAAACACCAAAACCCCCCAAACCCTAAACCCCAAACCCTAGGCCGAATCCCTGAGGCGATGCCACAGGCGAAGAGGTCCCCAAACCTTACAACCGCCCCTGGGGTTCAGGGATTCTGGAGGTCTCCTGGACTATGCGCAGGATAGCTATGTATATCCACTATATCTTGGTAGCCCAGTGGTACCCTTTACCCTTTTTTTGGGTTATGGGTTCCCTTATAAGATAACCAACCCAAAAAAGGGTGCCCTTATTATAATATGGTGAATTACTGGGCTACCAAGATATGCTACGATATTATATCCAAAATGTTTACACAATGATTTACGCCCCCACCTCTTCTCTTCCGACATGGGTCGAGGCACACAACTTTCTGACACGCGCAGGTGTGGCGATCCCCGAGGATATGCAGAAAAAGGAGGAGAAGGCACCGATTTGTTTCTTTCTGACGGCCTCATGTCTAAGACATGCGTGCCGCGGTGTCCCTCGTACACTAAACCCTAAACGCTAAACCCTAAACCCTAAACCCTAAACCCGTGTGGCAGTTGTGTCTGCACAATCAGAGGGTCTCGTCGTGATTACAGACACTGGCATGCCGGGCAGCCCGTCCACTTCCGATTCCTTCATGAGGTCAGGCCTTATAAGGGCTTAGGGCTAAGGGTTTAGGGTTTAGGGTTTCGGGTTTAGGGTTTATACAGCCTGAACGCAACATCCTTCAGTCTTTTTGTTAGGCTACATCAATCAGCTCGCTGTTGGAAGCCTGCTGTTCAGCTACTCCTTCCGTTCACCAAAGATCCTGCGGCTGCGCAGGCTCGACTGAAGCTGCTGGTCAGAAACTTCACCTCCACTGCCATTAGAGGCGCAGGGGTAAAAACCCTAAACCCGAAACCCTAAACCGTAAAGCCTGAACCCTGAACCCTAAACCCTGAACCCTAAACCTAAACCTAAACCCTAAACCCTAAACCCTGGCCTTGCAGGTGTTGCCTGCAGCAAGGTCGACCTCAAGTCCCGGACTCGGTTTAGGGTTTAGGGTTTAGGGTTTAGCGTTTAGGATTTAGGGTTTAGGGTTTAGGGTTTAGGGTTTAGGGTTTAGGGTTTAGGGTTTAGGGTTTAGGGCTTGATGAGTTTTAGGTTTTAGGGGAGAGTTCCACCTGGCTCATGGGGCTTAGATATGCAACGCAGCAACAACGTGGCGGGTTGCAGGCTTTCGATGTTCGGGCTCGGTGTTGCAGGGCTGGACGGCTATATGAAGCGCTGCCAGTTCAGCTACAGCCCTACTCTTTGTCTCCTGCTCATCTACGATTTGCCTAAGAACCCCCCCCCCCCCCCCCCCAAAAGATTAAAAAAATAGCAATCCCTATATTACCCTTAATGAGGAAGAATATTTTTACTTTTGCTAGGGTTCTTAAGCAATTTCTAGTAATCTAGGCTGCCCAGTAGTACCCCTTATTCCCTTTTTGGGGGGAGTTTAGGTTCCCTTATAAACCCCTTTAAGCAAAAAAGGGCACCCTTTTTAAGCCTAGGTTACTGGGCAGCCTAGTAATAGCAACTGCTGCTTATAATCCTGAACCCATGGACCACCAAGCAATGTGCTGCGGCCCCAAGCCTGTCACTCAGCCCAGCAGCGGCCCTAAACCCTAAACCCTAAACCCTAAACCCGCGGATGTTGCATCCGCCAGGACCGGTTCAATATGCCAAGGTGGGTGCGCCTCACAAGCTGGATGAGTCTGGGCATGGCGTGCACATCAAGGGGAGGTCTGATGTCGAATGTTTACAAAATTGCATTGAGGGCATTACGGGTATAGGGCATGATACCTGCAAAGGGCTTCAGTGGGGCTTCGAGGAAAACTAGGATAGGGGAGCAGGGGCACAGCCACGAGCAGTTGTTGTAAGCCTTCGTGGGCAGAGCGCCAGCAGCGACATTGATCCAGCGCAGCCCCCCTGTGGCTCCACATACGGCTAGCCCGAGCCCCCTCGAACTGTCGTGAACGTGAGCTCAGCCATAGGACGGCACACCACACAAGTGACCCGAGCCTCAAAGCTTCAAAGTACCCGCAGCTACGGCATTCTTACCACCAACTTAAAAGCCCACAGCCTAGAAAGCCTAGTGTTTATCGGCCAGCAATATGCGAAGTTTGGAGATCCACCTTGCATAAAACGGTTACGCGCTGCGGGCTCACATCATGAACACGGCATATCCGAGTGCACCCAGCGTCCTGGAGGTCCGCAAGGGACTCGGGGCTTTGGTACTCTAGAGTTTGGGGTGTGGGGTTTACGGTTTGGGGTTTCGGGCTTAGGGTAATTAAGCCCTGAACCCGAGGAGTTTGGAAGTGCTGCGAGGGCGGAGATTCAAAGCCCAACCCCGGCGAGCCCAAAACCTCCAACACCTTCAGAAGCCCCAAACACACTTCTGCCTCTGCCGGCAAGCCCCCTCACCCCCATGGCCCTTTCCCAAGTCAGTGCTTTCACAGGCTTTGTTCAACCTTGAAGGTTATAGTTGTCATAGTTGGGTACCATTATACATTTTTAAGGGTACTTTAAACCCAACAAGGAATAGACATGTCAATTTCCATTATGAGTTTTTAAGGGTATTAAACCCAATAAGGAATAGAACTGTAACATTTTCATACTATCCCAACCATGAACTAGTTATGGGGCCAGGATGCCTCCAGTAGACCATCCCTTTGATCCCTTTCTTAGGGGGCGGGCATGGAACAAGGATAAAGGCACCCTCTCTTTTTCATGAGGCGACCCGGAAACTCGTAGACTCGTAGGGATTCATGGTTTGAGGGCTTTCGGATTTCGGCGTTTCGGGCTTGGGTTGGGGGCTTAGGGGGTTCTATGAGAGTTTAACAGTTTCAAGGCCTGTCGGCCTCGAAGCATCTTCTGCAAATTTTGAGAACTTCTGCAACTTGGGAGAAAGTAACCGAAGCCTCAAGGTATTCCTAAGCCTCCATGAGCACTTAAGCCCTCAAACCCTTACTCAACCCGCAAGCCGTAAATTCGAGGCTTTCAAACTTTAACATCTTAAGCTGCAGACCCTGCCGAAGCTCGCGCCCCCCCCCCCCCCCCCCCCTAAACCCTAAACCTTAAACCCTAAGCCTTAAACCCTAAACCCTAAACCCTAAGCCTTAAACCCTAAACCCTAAACCCTAAACCCCCAAACGGGGGCCGCCTCAGCACGCGCAGTCACAGCTGACGCATCACCTGCTACCACCTCAGCAGCGAGAGGCGCAGTCCTGGGGTTGTGCTTTGGGATACATGTTCATTTCCCTTCTTTAGTTATAAGGTAACCTATTCATGAACAGTAAAACAGTAGGGTTTAGGGTTTGGGGTTTAGGGTTTTCGGCTACTGAGCTGTGCTTTGGGATACATGTTCATGTCCCTTCTTTTGCTTAGAAGGTACCCTATTCATGAATAGTTTTTTGAAAAGGTTTAAAGCACAACCCAGGGTAGTTCATGTTCAGTGAGTTGTGATGACTTGCATCTGAGGGGGCTGTATATGTCTATGTGCGCCTCGAACAAATGCTGCTTGTTTGACTGCTTCGTGCAGCTAAGTTGATGCAGTTGCTGCTTGACATTGTAGACCATGGGACCAAGGGCCGTTCCAGAGCCCAGTTCAGGGTTTAGGGTTAGGGTTTAGGGTTTAGGGTTTAGGGTTTAGGGTTTAGGGTTTAGGGTTTAGGGTTTAGGGTTTAGGGTTTAGGGTTTAATTAGGGTTTAGGGTTTAGGGTTTAGGGTTTAGGGTTTAGGGTTGTCTATGTTTAGGGTTTAGGGTTTAGGGTTCAGGGTTGTCTATGTAAGTTTCATGGCTGTCTGGCAGGGGGACATCTTGCTTCCTAAGCCCGTCTGAAATGGTCCGAGTCTCACTGTTGACAGCATCGTACCTGCTTTTTGGGATGTTCCCTCTTGTACTAGTCCTTCATAGGGATTATAATAGGGGGTACTATAGTCCCTATGAAGGACTGTTAGTATAAGGGGGAACATCCCAAACCCTGCAGGCAGCCAAGTATTCATAGTACAGGAGCCTGAATAAATGCCAGCATTATCTCGTTACATTCTCCACATGTAGAGTCCCCGAAACCCTAATCCCTAAACCCTAAACCCTAATCCCTGACCCCTTAACTTACAGAAACCGTAACCCCCCACCCCCCACCCCGTGTGGTATCCATCTCTCCCCTCCTCCTTGGAATAATTACCAACAGTATTCCCTTCTGGTACCTTTATAGATATACTATAACACCCCCCCCCCCCTCCAAAAAAGAAAAGAAAACACTATTCTAAGTATTAAGGCCCCGATAGTACGCCAACTTTCTGCTCAAGTGCGAAAGTTTTCGGGAGGGCGATGACCAGAGTAACCCCAAACCCTACTGTAGACCCTATAGACCCTGAACCCCAAACCCTAAACCCTAAACCCTAACCCCCTCCCCTTGTGGGTGATCTGTCTCTCCATCCCCTCCGCTGTCCGGGAGGGCGACGACCAGAGTGTTGCGGCGCTTCAGGAGCAGTATTTGAGGCACCTCACGCAGGCGAACCCATCGGGGCTCGGTTTTTGGTCTTCTAGGCCATTCTAGGCTCCAGGGGGTTATGCCCTGATTATCCTATTACGATGCTGATTGCTAAGAACAAATAAACACATGTATACATACATATATTGTATATGTACATACAGAAATGTAAATATTATTATCATATTACATGTTAAATTGTCCCAACCCCCCAAAGCTCCCAAACCCAAAACAAAGCTCCATAAGCCCAACCCTAAACCTTAAACCCTAAACCCTAAACCCTAAACCCCCTTTCTGACTTCTGGGTCTCGGGATCGTGGAAGCTTGTCGCTGCGTTGGCCTAGGACTTGGGTTTGCAGGCTTGCAATTGTAGGTCTAGGGTTTAGGGTTTAGGGTTTGGGATGGTTTAGGGTGTAGGGTCTTCTCTGAGGTTCATTGAGTCTGCTTGTCACTTTCCTGGATTCAGGAGCGTTCGTAGGCTGTGGGGTCTTGGGTCACGCTTGGATCCCGATTTGCGTGTTAGGCGCTTGGCAGAGCTTTGATGGTTGCAGCCTCATTCCTTGGCACTTGAGTGAGTACCCGAGACCCTAAACCCTAAACTAGAGTTCCTAGAGGCTGCAAGTCTCAAGCTGCAAGTCTCAAAATGCAAGGCAGAAAGCGCACAAGGTAGGAGTATGTCGGAATGGTTAGTTAGCTAGCTAGCTAGTTAGTTAGTTAGTGAGTTGTTGGTTAGTTAGTTCGCTAGCTAGTTAGAGTGTGCGTGTGTGTGCGTGTGTCTCTGTGCCTCTCTCTGGGTCTCTCTAGGTCTCTGTCTCTGTGCGTATGTGTGTGAAACCGAACACATGATAGAACTGCGCCGGCAACAGCATCAGGAGCAACTTGTGGAAAATTCATGCCGGAAAAAAACCTACATCCTTCAGAAAATTTCCTTAAGTTCGAGATGAAGCTCGCGCCGCAGTTCTTCCTTGCAGGACCGTCTCGTGCAAGGGGGCTATATCCCGAATCTCGTGCCGATCCTACTGTGGAATCGGCCCTCTTCAGGCTCCTGCGAAGGGCACCTGTAGGGTTCATAAGGGGGATCACGAGCCCACCACCCCGCCGCCTGACTTGTTTGGGACCACTGGTTCTATTGAAATGTGATGGAGTATCCCTACCTAAACTTTAAACCCTATAAACTCTAGACCCTAAACCCCATGGAAACCATGACCCCGCATCCCTTTAAGATTCCGCGTCAACCCTCCACTTCCAGAAGCCCCCCGAGGTTTTAGGGTTTAGAGTTTAGGGTGTAGGGTCTAGGGTTTAGGGTTTAGGGTTTTAGGGTTTAGGGTTTAGGGTTAGAAAGCGAGCAGGCCCCCCCCCCCCCCCATATTCCCCACCCACGAATCTCACATTGATTCTCCTTTAACGCCCATGCAAATCCTAAACCCTAAACCTCATAAACACTAAACCCTAAACCTACAAAGCCTAAACCTTATAAACCCTACAAACCCTAAACCCTAGACCTACAAAGCCTAAACCTTATAAACCCTACAAGCCCTAAATCCTAAACCTTATAAAGCCTACAAACCCTAAAACCCATATTCCCCCAAACAATAAAGCCCCTCGCCCCCGATCCTCCTCCGACTTCGCTCAGCTGTGAAGCTGTGGCCAGGCTCACGACAAGCGTCGCCAGCAGGACCAGGTTTCAGGGTTGAGGGTTTAGGGTTAAGGGTTTAGGATTTAAGGTTTAGGGTTTATAAGGTTTTGGGCTTAGGGTTTAGGGTTTGGTGTTTCTAAGGTTTAGGGTTGAGGATCAGGGGGTTTCGGATGAAGAGGTCAGGTATAACTACTGGTACCTGTCTAGTTAAAAGAGCAGTTCTGAGAGCCACATGACCTACTGGGTAGGTAACCTTGCCCACTGATACCAGCAGTCCTTAAAAGGGATTATAGTAGGGGGTACGATAATCCCTATTACGGACAGACTGCTGGAAAAAGGGGGAACATCCCAAGTTGTACCCCGAAGGCTCCCCTTACTATACTTCAAACAACTATTTAAATTCTTGGAGCCCTAGGGTAGTTAAGCGCTACTAACCCTTTTCTTCATTTTTGACATGAAAAAGAAGTAGTCTTACCTTCCGTTGGTGTGCTATTTTTGCAGAATGAAGTCGGACCTTAAAGGAGGGTTCGCGCAGCCCTAAATCCTAAACCCTAAAGCCTAAAGCCTAAAACCCAACCCTACCTGAAGGCTCCAAGGTAGTTCCTAAACCCCCTAACCCTTAAAGCCAGGAGCCATCAGCCCATCTTCGGACCCTAAACCCTAAACCCTAAACCCTAAACCTGAAAGCCAGGAGCCATCTGCCCATCCTCGGACCCCGGCTCCCCCTCTTCGCGGCTTCGTCGGCCGGCCGAGGAGGTCCTCACACCGGCCCTCAACTCAGCTTGCTTAGGGTTTAGGGTTTAGGGTTTAGGGTTTAGGGTTTAGGGTTTAGGATTTAGGGTTTAGGGTTTAGGGTTTAGGGTTTAGGGTTTAGGGTTTAGGGTTCAGGGTTCAGGGTTCAGGGTTCAGGGTTCAGGGTTCAGGGTTCAGGGTTCAGGGTTTAGGGTTTCAGTTTAGGGTTTAGGGTTACAGTGTTGTAGGGTTTATAGGGATTGCTTACTAGCGGTTTTTACGGTTAAAGGTTTAGAGCTTTTTAAGGTTTTTGCGGGCTTTACAGGGTCTGTACGGGTTTACAAGGGTTTAGGTTAAAGAGGGATTTAGGAGCCGTAAGGGTTTATGGCGTTTTTTCGGGTGTATAGGTTGGGATTTTATCCTTAGACTAACAGTCCTTAGTCCTGATTGTAGTACCCCCCCCCCCCCCCCCAAGCAGCTTGCTTACAGGGTTTGTAAGGGGTTTTACAGGATTTGTAAGGGATACAAGGGTTTGTAAGTGTTTGTAAGGGTTTATAAGGTTAGGGGTTTCTAAGGGCTTACAGGGTTTATGGGGTCCGTATGTTTTACAGGGTTTGTAGGGTTGGTATAGGGTTGTTTTAGGGTTTACAAGGGTTAGGGGAGCCGCCTAAGTCCGGAACCGATGCCCAGTACACCGCTGCCCAAGGCCGTTGCGAAGACCAAGTCCATGCCGGCCAGTCGCGGCTTCTTTCGCCGCGGCTCTCTGCGAAGCAGCCGCTGGGCTACCGTCGCTCACAGGGTTTTCTTGGGTGTTATATCGTTTTATTTACTTATTCATTTATCTTTTGAATAGGTTTTATAGGTTTTTTATAGGTTGCTATAGGGTCTTTAGGGGCAACGGTTCAGGGTTTATGGGGTTGAGAGGCTGTGAGGTTGAAGGTGAAAAAGGGCTGCGAGTTGAGGGCTAGGGTTTAGGGTTTAGGGTTTAGGGTTTAGGGTTTAGGGTTTAGGGTTTAGGGTTTAGGGTTTAGGGTTTAGGGTTTAGGGTTTAGGGTTTAGGGTTTAGGGTTTAGGGTTGACTTGTCAACTACACATAAGAATTTCTGCCTACCGTCTCGTCTCTGTGTCTGTGCGACCTCTGCGTGTGAGTCTGTGCTCCGAGAGTTCCCCCGCTTAAGACCGGAAAGCTCCAAATCAAGCTCCTCATGAAACCCTAAACCCTAAACCCTAAACCCTAAACCGATGTTTTGGGATGTTCCCCCTTGTACGAACGGTCCTTAATAGGGCTCATAATAGGGGGGTACAGTACTCCCTATTAAGGACCGTTAGTATAAGGTGGGGAACGTCTCAATTGACTTTCCGGAAGCTAGAAGCCAGTCGAACATCCAGCGAGTAAAGGAGTCGGCATTTCATGTTGAGAGTTTAGGTCGCTGAAGGAAAGTTTCCCAGGTCCCCCAGGCCTACAAGTCCTCAAGCGCTAAACCCAAACAGCCTGCCGAAGTCCTTTGAACTTGGAATGGCCCCAAGCGTTTTGAGCATTGCTAGCCCTTCAAGTACCCACTTTTCTTCAAGTACCCCACTTTTCTAGGATACCAACTGGCGCACCCATGATGTTTCTCGCGGGTTGGGTTCCCCTAGAGACACTCAAAAGAACCTAGGTGATACTGGGAGCCCAAAAAACCCTAAGCCATAAATCCCAACACTAAATCCTACGAACTTAAACCCCAAACCCTAAACCCCCACAAGTCCTATAAGCCCTAAACCCTACGAACTTAAACCCTCTAAAGCCACTAAGCCCCTAACAAGCCCCAAACCCTACGAACTTAGCCCCAAACCCTAAACCCTAAACCCTAAACCCTAAACCCTAAACCCTAAACCCTAAACCGATATTTTGGGATGTTCCCTCTTGTACGAACGGTCCTTAATAGGGCTCATAATAGGGGGTACAATACTCCCTATTAAGGACCGTTAGTATAAGGTGGGGAACGTCTCAATTGACTTTCCGGAAGCTAGAAGCCAGTCGAACATCCAGCGAGTAAAGGAGTCGGCATTTCATGTTGAGAGTTTAGGTCGCTGAAGGAAAGTTTCCCAGGTCCCCCAGGCCTACAAGTCCTCAAGCGCTAAACCCAAACAGCCTGCCGAAGTCCTTTGAACTTGGAATGGCCCCAAGCGTTTTGAGCATTGCTAGCCCTTCAAGTACCCACTTTTCTTCAAGTACCCCACTTTTCTAGGATACCAACTGGCGCACCCATGATGTTTCTCGCGGGTTGGGTTCCCCTAGAGACACTCAAAAGAACCTAGGTGATACTGGGAGCCCAAAAAACCCTAAGCCATAAATCCCAACACTAAATCCTACGAACTTAAACCCCAAACCCTAAACCCCCACAAGTCCTATAAGCCCTAAACCCTATGAACTTAAACCCTCTAAAGCCACTAAGCCCCTAACAAGCCCCAAACCCTACGAACTTAGCCCCAAACCCTAAACCCTAAACCCTAAACCCTAAACCCTAAACCCTAAACCCTAAGCCCTAAGCCCTAAGCCCTAAGCCCTAAGCCCTAAGCCCTAAGCCCTAAGCCCTAAGCCCTAAGCCCTAAGCCCTAAGCCCTAAGCCCTAAGCCCTAAGCCCTAACCCTAAACCCTAAACCGGGGCCGAGGCGTCGTGAACATCGCCGCAGCGGCCTTGGGAGCCGGAGCCCTGTCGCTGCCCAGGGCCATGCCGGGGCTCCCAGCAGTCCAGTGCACCAGAAGAGTGTTTGCCCTTAGGGTTTAGGGCTTTTAGGGTTTAGGGTTTAGGGCTTAGGGCTTAGGGCTTAGGGTTTAGGGTTTAGGGTTTAGGGTTTAGGGTTTTTAAGGTTTAGGGTTTAGGGATGCAAAACTCCATTGTGCATGTATATGCATATGAGGGTTGTTCAAAACCCCCCTTGGCTTCGAGCTATACTGGGGCGACCATCAGATAATGGAAATGAGGGTCCGCGAAAGTCCGCGATGGGCCCGCGAAAGACAAATCACGCTTTCACGAAGTTTTGTGTTAGTAGTGTTTGTACTGTAACTAAGACGGGTGTAAAATTGCCTCCGTGAAAGTCCGCGATGGGCCCGCGAAAGACAAATAGCTTTTCGCGAAGAATGGTCGTTTTGCCGTGAAGCAATTTCGAACAACCGTCATATATGATATGTGAACAGATATATATATATATATATACACATGCACATACGGGCTTACATTAGGTTCACTAAAATGTTGAGAAAGGCTTGAGGTCCAGGCTTTGTTGAGAGTTGAGGGCTTCGAGGCTTTACAAAGGCTTATGATTCAGGCTGAAGGCAGGGTTTGGGATTCAGGGAATCTGGAGTCTGGAGGAGTTCGGTTTCGAGCGCGGCTTTAGGACTACAGGTTCCAGAAAAGTTGTGGAGGCCTACATGGTTGCAGTGTTGCGACGCTCGAGGGCTTCAGGGCATTATAGGGATTTCAGGGTTGACAACCTTTCAAGTATGACTTGATTCCGCCATGAGCCGGACTATGACTAACAACAGCTTGAGGACCAACAAGTTTGTTCCTTTGCCCCAGGTTGTTGGGGTTATTCGGGCGCGTTTGCAGGCTTCAAAAAGCTTTCGTGGGGTATTATCAGGGGGTCATGGTTGTATGTGTTGAGGGTGGCATAAACCCTAACTAAACTCTAAAAGGCTAGGTAGTTTCCGCCGCATTTAAGGGTTTTTGTTGACAGGGGCGTTGTGGTTTTGTGTTTAAGTAGTGTCCAAGGGATTAAGGGGGCGTTTTGCTCGGAGTCAGGGGCAAGCGTGGGACAAAGTTGCTTTGTCCGTGTGCGTTGGCTTTCGCAGCCAAAGTCTCACCGAAGTTGCCCTCAGGCCAAAAACAGAGGCGGGCCGAACAAAAGGTTGCTGTGGATAAACAAATCTTGATGAGGACGAGCCCCAGACCCTAGGATCTTCTTTTGATGATTCCCACCTTGTCTGCAACTTTCGGTCGAAGATTGGGTGTTCAGAGCTGAAGGGCGGCTCGTAGACAGAAGCCGCGATGCGGCCCTAAACCCTAAACCCTAAACCCGAAACCCTAAACCCTAAACCCTATTGGGCTGCGGCCGAGGTATTATTCGGGCATCTTGTGGGGGCCATTGTCGCTTGGCAGCCGCAGCAATGAGCTTTGAGGCTGTCGCCTTTGGAAAGTTATGTTTCCTCGGTCAACACCGCCTTTTTCCAGAACCCTAAGCCCTAAACCCTAAACCCTAAACGCTGTAGTTGTCAGCTGAGGCATCTTGTTTTGTGCACGCAACCAGTCCTTGTGCTTGTCGGCTTGTTTTGTTCGTTAAAGATGCCATGTTAAAGGAAGGCGGTCTGATGTTGTGAGCTTGCCGATACCAAAGAGAGCACGCATTCAATAATTGAGTATTCGGGTAGAATTTAACTCAAAGTAGTATAGGACAGAATCACACAAAGGCCCTGCCCAAGCAACATGCTGTTTGTTCTCGGTTGTGTACTTGAGCAAACATCCTGTGCCAGCTTGCGTTTGCGGGCAGATCTTTCAATCTCCGCTGGGTCAGCGCAGCAAGCAAGCATTCAAGCATGCAGCCGGCAAACGTACAGGTGCGACGGGCAGTTTTTGAGCATGTCTTTCACCCCGGGTTTAGGGGGCTTGCATGGGTTACGGCTCTAGCAGGGCAACTTGCGACGCTTTGCAACTTCGGCCACAGCCTAAACCCCTAAACCCCTAAGCCCCAAGACCCCCAAACCCCTAAACCCCAAACCCCCAAACCCCTAAACCCCCAAACCCCTAAACCCCCTAAAGCCCCTAAACCCCCTAAACCCCCTAAAGCCCCTAAAGCCCCTAAAGCCCCTAAACTCCTGGACCCCTAAACCCCTAAATCCCTAAACCCCCTAAACCCCTAAACCCCCTAAATCCCTAAACCCCCTAAATCCCCAGACCCCGCTCATGAGGCTAATGATCGTCTTAGCTGCTCTGTCCATCCTGAGCATCCGCGTCATCGTGCAACTTGTGGAGCTGTCAGGCAAAGACTCCTATGAGGATCCTCCCCTTGAGGGCTCTTTTGCTGGCTCATTGTAGTCGGAGGACTTCCGGATGGGTAACACATAACATAGGAAATATAGAAACACACATATATATATATATATGTATGTAGGACCTTTATGCGTTATTTGACGGTCCTGCTTCGCCTTCCAAAACTTTAAGGATTTTAAGGAATTTAGGGGTTTTCCAAAATTTTAAAAGGACCACAAAATCCTTAAAATTTTGAAAGCCCGGACCTTTCAAAATTTTAAGGATTTTAAGGAATGTAAGGCCTTTTAAATTTCTTAAAATCCTTAAAATCCTTAAAATTTTGAAAGAAAATTAAATTATTTTCCGGAAAGAGGCAGGCCCATTTAAAATTTTAAAAATCTTAAAAATCCTTAAAATCCTTAAAATTTTGAAAGCCCGGGCCTTTCAAAATTTTAAGGATTTTAAGGAATTTAAGGCCTTTTAAATTTCTTAAAATCCTTAAAATCCTTAAAATTTTGAAAGAAAATTAAATCATTTTCCGGAAAGAGGCAGGCCCATTTAAAATTTTAAAAATCCTTAAAATCCTTAAAATCCTTAAAATTTTGAAAGGTTGGGGCTTTCAAAATTTTAAGGATTTTAAGGAATTTAAGGCCTTTTAAATTTCTTAAAATCCTTAAAATCCTTAAAATCCTTAAAATTTTGAAAGAAAATTAAATATTTTCCGGAAAGAGGCAGGCCCATTTAAATTTTAAAAATCCTTAAAATCCTTAAAATCCTTAAAATTTTGAAAGGTTGGGGCTTTCAAAATTTTAAGGATTTTAAGGAATTTAGCGCCTTTTAAATTTCTTAAAATCCTTAAAATCCTTAAAATTTTGAAAGAAAATTAAATTATTTTCCGGAAAGAGGCAGGCCCATTTAAAACTTTAAAAATCCTTAAAATCCTTAAAATCCTTAAAATTTTGAAAGGTTGGGGCTTTCAAAATTTTAAGGATTTTAAGGAATTTAAGGCCTTTTAAATTTCTTAAAAACCTTAAAATCCTTAAAATGTTGAAAGAAAATTAAATCATTTTCCGGGAAAGAGGCAGGCCCATTTAAAATTTTAAAAATCCTTAAAATCCTTAAAATCCTTAAAATTTTGAAAGCCCGGGCCTTTCAAAATTTTATGGATTTTAAGGAATTTAAGGCCTTTTAAATTTCTTAAAATCCTTAAAATCCTGAAAATTTTGAAAGAAAACTAAATTATTTTCCGGAAAGAGGCAGGCCCATTTAAAATTTTAAAAATCTTAAAAATCCTTAAAATCCTTAAAATTTTGAAAGCCCAGGCCTTTCAAAATTTTAAGGATTTTAAGGAATTTAAGGCCTTTTAAATTTCTTAAAATCCTTAAAATCCTTAAAATTTTGAAAGAAAATTAAATTATTTTCCGGAAAGAGGCAGGCCCATTTAAAATTTTAAAAATCCTGAAAATCCTTAAAATCCTTAAAATTTTGAAAGGTTGGGGCTTTCAAAATTTTAAGGATTTTAAGGAATTTAAGGCCTTTTAAATTTCTTAAAATCCTTAAAATCCTTAAAATCCTGAAAAATTTTGAAAGAAAATTAAAATATTTTCCGGAAAGAGGCAGGCCCATTTAAAATTTTAAAAATCCTTAAAATCCTTAAAATCCTTAAAATTTTGAAAGGTTGGGGCTTTCAAAATTTTAAGGATTTTAAGGACTTTAAGGCCTTTTAAATTTCTTAAAATCCTTAAAATCCTTAAAATCCTTAAAATTTTGAAAGAAAATTAAATCATTTTCCGGAAAGAGGCAGGCCCATTTAAAATTTTAAAAATCCTTAAAATCCTTAAAATCCTTAAAATTTTGAAAGCCCGGGCCTTTCAAAATTTTAAGGATTTTAAGGAATTTAGGCCTTTTAAATTTCTTAAAATCCTTAAAATCCTGAAAATTTTGAAAGAAAACTAAATTATTTTCCGGAAAGAGGCAGGCCCATTTAAAATTTTAAAAATCCTTAAAATCCTTAAAATCCTTAAAATTTTGAAAGGTTGGGGCTTTCAAAATTTTAAGGATTTTAAGGAATTTAAGGCCTTTTAAATTTCTTAAAATCCTTAAAATCCTTAAAATTTTTAAAATTTTGAAAGAAAATTAAATCATTTTCCGGAAAGAGGCAGGCCCATTTAAAATTTTAAAAATCCTTAAAATCCTTAAAATCATTAAAATTTTGAAAGGTTGGGGCTTTCAAAGTTTTAAGGATTTTAAGGAATTTAAGGCCTTTTAAATTTCTTAAAATCCTTAAAATCCTTAAAATCCTTAAAATTTTGAAAGAAAATTGAATTATTTTCCGGAAAGAGGCAGGCCCATTTAAAATTTAAAAATCCTTAAAATCCTTAAAACCCTTAAAATTTTGAAAGGTTGGGGCTTTCAAAATTTTAAGGATTTTAAGGATTTTAAGGATTTTTAAAATTTTAAATGGGCCTGACTCTTTCCGGAATATATTTTAATTTTATTTCAAAATTTTAAGGATTTTAAGGATTTTAAGAAATTTAAAAGGCGCTAAATTCCTTAAAATCCTTAAAATTTTGAAAGCCCCAACCTTTCAAAATTTTAAGGATTTTAAGGATTTTAAGGATTTTTAAAATTTTAAATGGGCCTGCCTCTTTCCGGAAAATAATTTAATTTTCTTTCAAAATTTTAAGGATTTTAAGGATTTTAAGAAATTTAAAAGGCCTTAAATTCCTTAAAATCCTTAAAATTTTGAAAGGCCCGGGCTTTCAAAATTTTAAGGATTTTAAGGATTTTAAGGATTTTTAAAATTTTAAATGGGCCTGCCTCTTTCCGGAAAATGATTTAATTTTCTTTCAAAATTTTAAGGATTTTAAGGATTTTAAGAAATTTAAAAGGCCTTAAATTCCTTAAAATCCTTAAAATTTTGAAAGGCCCGGGCTTTCAAGGATTTTAAGGATTTTAAGGATTTTTAAAATTTTAAAGGCCTTAAATTCCTTAAAATCCTTAAAATTTTGAAAGGCCCGGGCTTTCAAAATTTTAAGGATTTTAAGGATTTTAAGGATTTTTAAAATTTTAAATGGGCCTGCCTCTTTCCGGAAAATAATTTAATTTTCTTTCAAAATTTTAAGGGGATTTTAAGGATTTTAAGGATTTTAAGGATTTTAAGAAATTTAAAGGCCTTAAATTCCTTAAAATCCTTAAAATTTTGAAAGGCCCAACCTTTCAAAATTTTAAGGATTTTAAGGATTTTAAGGATTTTTAAAATTTTAAATGGGCCTGCCTCTTTCCGGAAAATATTTAATTTTCTTTCAAAAAATTTTAAGGATTTTAAGGATTTTAAGAAATTTAAAAGGCCTTAAATTCCTTAAAATCCTTAAAATTTTGAAAGCCCCAACCTTTCAAAATTTTAAGGATTTTAAGGATTTTAAGGATTTTTAAAATTTTAAATGGGCCTGCCTCTTTCCGGAAAATAATTTAATTTTCTTTCAAAATTTTAAGGATTTTAAGGATTTTAAGAAATTTAAAAGGCGCTAAATTCCTTAAAATCCTTAAAATTTTGAAAGCCCCAACCTTTCAAAATTTTAAGGATTTTAAGGATTTTAAGGATTTTTAAAATATTAAATGGGCCTGCCTCTTTCCGGAAAATGATTTAATTTTCTTTCAAAATTTTAAGGATTTTAAGGATTTTAAGAAATTTAAAAGGCCTTAAATTCCTTAAAATCCTTAAAATTTTGAAAGGCCGGGCTTTCAAAACTTTAAGGATTTTAAGGATTTTTAAAATTTTAAATGGGCCTGCCTCTTTCCGGAAAATAATTTAATTTTCTTTCAAAATTTTAAGGATTTTAAGGATTTTAAGGATTTTAAGAAATTTAAAAGGCGTTAAATTCCTTAAAATCCTTAAAATTTTGAAAGCCCCAACCTTTCAAAATTTTAAGGATTTTAAGGATTTTAAGGATTTTTAAAATTTTAAATGGGCCTGCCTCTTTCCGGAAAATAATTTAATTTTCTTTCAAAATTTTTCAGGATTTTAAGGATTTTAAGGATTTTAAGAAATTTAAAAGGCCTTAAATTCCTTAAAATCCTTAAAATTTTGAAAGCCCCAACCTTTCAAAATTTTAAGGATTTTAAGGATTTTCAGGATTTTTAAAATTTTAAATGGGCCTGCCTCTTTCCGGAAAATAATTTAATTTTCTTTCAAAATTTTAAGGATTTTAAGGATTTTAAGAAATTTAAAAGGCCTTAAATTCCTTAAAATCCTTAAAATTTTGAAAGCCCCAACCTTTCAAAATTTTAAGGATTTTAAGGATTTTAAGGATTTTTAAAATTTTAAATGGGCCTGCCTCTTTCCGGAAAATAATTTAATTTTCTTTCAAAATTTAAGGATTTTAAGGATTTTAAGGATTTTAAGAAATTTAAAAGGCCTTAAATTCCTTAAAATCCTTAAAATTTTGAAAGGCCCGGGCTTTCAAAATTTTAAGGATTTTAAGGATTTTAAGGATTTTTAAAATTTTAAATGGGCCTGCCTCTTTCCGGAAAATAATTTAATTTTCTTTCAAAATTTTAAGGATTTTAAGGATTTTAAGAATTTAAAATGCCTTAAATTCCTTAAAATCCTTAAAATATTGAAAGGTCCGGGCTTTCAAAATTTCAAGGGTTTTCAGGATTTTAAGGATTTTAAAATTTTAAATGGGCCTGACTTTTCCGGAAAATACATTTATTTTCCAATAGTTTTACTGAGTTTATTTTTTTATTTAAATGGGCCTGACCCTTTCTGGAAAATACTTGAATATTAGTTTAAAATTTGATAGATTTTAAGGAAACTAGGGGCATTTCAATATTTGGAAAGGCCATGAAGTTGCATGGGTACGTTATATTTTTGGATTTTTGTTTGTAATTTTTAGCAAATAAACCATTTAAGTTTTTTTTTGCAATTTTCCTGAAATTCTGAAAGCCTAGGCCTTACAAGAAAAATAAAGAAAACAGCAACACAAATACTCATTCAAAATATTTAAATGCGCTTCTTAGTCCTT